CCCCAAAACCCCAAAACCCCAAAACCCCAAAACCCCTTATAGAAGAATGAAGGTTGAAATTTTTTGCATTATAAATAAATGATTGCATTTTATTCCTTAAGATTTGAAATCACTACGTCCAGGAATAACTTTCTTCTTCTCTGGAATGCTCATGCTTTTTATCTTTTCAGGATCACTTATTCCTGGCACCCCTGTCGTATCACTTCCTTTCATGCTTTTCTCTCTCTTCTGCATATTTACTAGCACTCCTGATCTTTCAGTATTGATCAAAGTGCTCACAACATCTTTGGCTATACTCTTTGTAGTGCTTTTTAACATTTCCTCAAGATAGCTAACATTGAAGTTCTCAAGTAATGAAGACTTTTGTTTCTCTTTTTGGTCTATCATTGCTTGAATAGTGCTAGATCCTTCACTGCCTGAGTAATTTCCTGCAATAAGTTCTTTCTTTCATAATGTTTTTAACAATTTCTTTCTTCTTGAAACCATTTCATCCAATCTATTCTTCAACCTATTTTGAATTGTAGCTTTTGGAAGGTCTTCTTCATGCCATACATAGTGAGATATGAAATTCTCAATACACCCTAAGTCTTTTGGGACTATTTTATTTTCATCATAGCACTTCCTGATGAGCCTTGAAACATATTCAATGAGAACATCATCTCCTGTGATTACAACTTTACTATTATCTGATGGTTTCTTGCTAATCTTTGGAAGCTTATTTGAGTCATCAGCAGTGCTGGCATCACTTCCTGTTACACTGGACCTCACTTTTACCCCTTTAGCTTCTTCTCTCACTTGCTGATAAGACGAAAGCTTTGGGACATCGTAGTTGAGTTTATAATTGGTCTTCAAATCAATATCTTGCTTACTGATTAGTCCTCCATCAAAGAGTACTTTATAGATGTATCTATTAATAGTCTTCTGGTACTGGAAGTATTTCTCATACTCGTTACAGCCAGGAGCAGGGAAAATTCTGACAAAATTCCCTCTTCTTTCATATTCTGTAATGGTCTCTTTAATAAGATCCCTATTCTTGAGTCTAGCCATTTTCTTCATCAGCTCTTTGAATTCTTTATCTCAGTCTGAGTCATTAATGAGTCTCTCCATTTCTTTTGAGAGCCCTCCAAATTTGATTCCTTCTTCCCCTTCATCTGAGAAGAGTCCTTTGAGATTAGAGCCTCCTGTTTTGGTAGTGTAGCCTCCTTTACCTTTGTATTGTCCTTTCATTCTATTCTTCATCTTGTTCATGCTCTCTCTTCTTCTGTCAAATTTATGGACTCCAACCAAATTGAATGTGTCAGCAACAAGGTTTGTTTTTATAGTGAAATCTAATGGTGAATCATGGCTCAAAGATGGAGATAGGTTTATCTCTAACAGCCATGGCTTAAGATCTGAATCAAAGATAATATCAAATCCGAATAACTCGAAACAATTTGTTCTGTAGGAGAGATTTCTCTTCATAGCGGTTAAAATAGGATGTTCACCACATAAAAGAGCCTTGATAATAACATCATATACTTTGGACCAAAGGAGATTCATATCAATACCAATCTGTTCTAAATGTTTACAAAGTGCAGTTATTGACCATTTAAATCCGTAGTCATCTCTTTCAATGTCTTCATTTGTTTTCCAGTTTGCATTCTTCTTGTTAAGAGAATAATTTGTGAGATGAACATATCTACTTTTCTTATTAGTAGAAGTAGTATATTCCTCTGTAGCAAATCTAGTGAGTCCTTCCTTGTAAACATACACTCTAAGAGGATCCCATGATGTTACGAGCACATAAATTCTTAGGTCGAATTTATGACCGTTAATCAGAAGAGGGTTAGGGATGTATTTACTGATAATACATGAATCATCGAGGTCAATATCATTTATATCATCAACCAAGTAGATTCCTTTTCCTTGACAAGATCCATTTGGTTTGACAATCCAAAGAGGTTTCCTACCTTCATTATTCTTAGCCTGATGAAATTCAGCAAAGAAATCAGCAAACTCATCAGGAAGAAGAAATGTATCAGGAATAATATAGAAATTCATTTTACCGAATTTCTCTTGCATCTTCAACACATTCAAGCAAAGCTTGTCCTTTCTAGTTAATTCATAACTTTGAGGAAAGTGATTAATTTTCTGGTATTCATTAAGCCCATCATACAGATAAGGTTTACCCATAGAGACAATCCATAGGACATTCCAATCATGAGACTCTGTATAAACAAATCCATGAGTCTCGAGAGTAGATCTAACGCATCTTGCTTCACATTTAAGGAGTTTGTAAGATAATTCAGAGTAATCAGTGCTCCCTCCTCGAGTGTACAAGTGTGTTGATGGTGGCCCCGATACCCACTGGTGCTCCTTAATCGGCCTGAAACTCACATAGTCTTGCAGTGATTTAGCCCCTGTTCCAGCCTTGGTGCTGCTCTTGCTTGCGTAAGACCCGTCCTTGGTCGACCCTGCCGAGCTGGCTGCGTTTGATGGACTGGCTGCGCTCATGGCCGAAGACGCACTGCTGGTTGCAGCAGACTTATTTCTTCTTGACTTCGAGTTCAGCCAGCTTGCTTAGGGCCGCCATGAATATTTTGTTCTGATTATCATTTTCTTTCTGGAACTCGGAGACTGGAAAGAACCTCTTCTTGTTGAGAAGAGTACATGTTCCGGGTCTTCCAGTGTACTCTGCTTTGATTCCCTTCCAAGATTTATTTTTCCATTTTCTGGAGGTGGTTTAGTCTTTGGAGGGCAGGGTTTTCGGCAGTGGAGCTGCTGTAGAAATATTGAGAAATGAAAACAAAATACTTACGTAGCTGAGATAGTGGCATATTCATTCTTGTAATTTCCTCCTAAAATATAATAAGTTATTACTAATCCTTTGAGTATTCAAAAAATCTTTTAATAAAATTATTTCCCACAACTCTTTATGTCTTGAATTAAATTTTTTTTAATCTAATGAACTTCCTTAAAATTGTAATACTTTGAAATAAAGTCGTCAAATGCCTATGTAAATACCTTCAAGCCTCACTTTTGTATGCTTGCACAATTTTAAGGATGCTCAAACTTTCGATTTGAAAGTCAAAAAGTATGTAAGTTAGAATACCAATAAATGTTCTCTAACTTCGAGATACACATGTCCTTTAATCTAGAGCATTTGCTCGACGAATCAATTCAAATGAGACTCACCGGCTGTTTTGGCTTGAGCCATTGAACCTGATGTTGGCTTTTCTTCCATAATTATAATATTTAAATTTAATTCTACTGACTTTTCCCAATATGGGGTTTTGGGGTTTTGGGGTTTTGGGGTTTTGGGGTTTTGGGGTTTTGGGG